CTTGTGTGTGAGTGTAGATTTCCCTCAGTGTCACAGGTCTGTGTGTGGGTGTAGAGCTCCCTGAACTGTGCCACAGGCCTGTGTGTGAGTGTTAGCTGCAACTGGGGAAATGTTCTTACCACATGTTTGGTTTCCTTTCAGGTTTTTATTGGAATTTACACAATAGAAATGATTTTGAAGATAATCGCTATGCACCCGTATGGGTATTTCCAAAGAAGCTGGAATATTTTTGACAGTATAATTGTGGTTTTGAGGTTAACAGAAATTTTCCTAGCAAGTTTTGAAGTAATAACTGTTTTTATATTAATCCCAGTAAGTAGAATTCAAGACCAAATTTTTATTTTATTGTAGTATATCTTACTTTCTTGAACATGAAAAGACAATATTAAAACATTTTAAAATGGGAATATTAGATCCTCTGTAAAATTCATTTAGTCCTAAAAATGATGTTTAATGTTTTCAGTGTACATAAATGTGGGAGAATGCTAATGTTAAGAAAAACCAAATATATTTTTTTTTAAAAAAAAGAAAAACCTAATATGTTATAAAGAAAAACAAAGACAAAGAGTGGATATTTATGCTGACCAGATATTAAAATTCAAACCTGTCACAATAAGAAAAGTACAATATTGACTGTGAATTAACAAGTAGGTTAGGATCATATGGATAGAATTACTATATAAAATTATAAAATGTGTAATATATATTATGAATGTAAAGTAATCACTTGTTTTTATCAATAATGTTGAAATTGGTATGACTTTAAAGTCTTTATATAAATGTATAATTCTGATGAAACTTTAATTGTACATTATAATCAACACTGATCTTTTGATTTTTTTCCTTTTATTTTACATTTGTCTATTAGTTGATATTTATAAAATTAGGGAAATATGGACCAACATTTAGGAATTTGATGCGCATCTTCGGTAGTGCATTGGTGGCCCTGAAAGACTTGGTCCTGTTGCTCTGCATATTCGTTTACTTCTCTGCCGTGTTTGGCATGAGGCTGTTTGGTCGAAGTTACAGAGATTGTGCCTGCCACATAGATCAAGACTGTCAGCGCCAACGCTGGCACATGAGTGACTTCTTCCATGCCTACATGACCGTGTTCCGAATCCTCTGTGGAGAGTGGATAGAGACATTATGGGAGTGTATGGAGGTTGCAGGCCAGGTCTGGTGTATTCCTTTTTACATGATGGTCATTTTAATTGGAAATTTATTGGTAAGTATTGATTGCCTTTATTTCTTCTTAACAACAACAATAACAAAGGACCCTGGTATGCTGTATATATTTGTATTTGATGGATTGATAGAATACAGTAATATATAGCTGAATTGTCCAAAATACTTGGTACTTGGTGATTACCAATTGAAACCCAATTGGACCAATTTAGCCATGTAATAACTGAAAGATATATACTGGATTTAAGTCTTATTCCCAAAGAATGTATGTCATTAATAAATTTGTATTTATATTATAATATTTAAAAGCACATAGTTTAATGAAATGCATTAATATATCCTTTCTTTAATATTACATGTGTGATTTCCATATTTCTATTGGCTAGCACAATGTCATAATGTTATTAATCAAAGTAGCTTTGACATCACATGGAAATGCTTAAACCTGCAGTTTCCAATTCCATACAGAAATATAGAAACATGATTCATCTTTTAACTCTATTCCCAAAAGATGTGTTTGTTCATTAAATTTTAAGAAGCACTTAAATACAACAGTGGCTGTCAACCTCCTGCACAATGCCATTACCTGGGGAATTGTTAATGGTGTATTCATGCCTCGAATACATGACCACAGATACTGATGTTGTTGATATGTTGTGGACTTGTCATTAGACAATGATTTTCTTTCATTCTCACTTGACCAAGCAGTGCAGCAATGATTATTAACTAAGTGCCTTGAATTAGATAAGAAAGACAGCTTTTATTTTCCAATTTCTTTACCATTGATCTACTGCCAAATGAATTGAATAAGGAGCCTTCACTGCTTCTAAAACAATCATATGGCAAAAAAAATTTGCCAGGCGGTGGTGGCGCATGCCTTTAATCCCAGCAATTGGGAGGCAGAGGCAGGTGCATTTCGAGGCCAGCCTGGTCTACAGAGTGAGTTCCAGGACAGCCAGGACTATACAGAGAAACCCTGTCTTGAAAAAAACAAAAACAAAAAAAATTTAAATATTTCTCATAGAACAGAAAAAGGAAGTGATATTTAACTTTTTGTTTTTCTTATATTTTATTATAGATTTCTTAAGTTTTCTTTTTCTAATATGTCATGAAAATCAATTGTTTTATAAAAAGACTTAAAAATAAGGAAAAACAATAATCAAAACATAGTATATATGTATGCAACAATTAAAAACAGGATTAAAATTGTTCTCTGTAAGTTAAATAGGACTTGATTATATTTCTCAGTGATAGTAAAATCAAAATATACACTTTTGTTGCTTTTAAAATCATTTATATCCAATGATTTTATCCAAATCATTTAATTATTTTGCATAACTTGTCTGTAACCATTTACTATGAGAAAATATTTTATGTAATGATTGTCTCCCTGCCTTTAAAATTATTAGATGTTGAGCTCAGTATCATGGCTAAATCTCTGGAGCTTACCCTTTATTTTTTCGCAGGATCTTTGCACATCATGCTAGATCTGGGCTCAACGGAAAATGGGTTTACCATAGGCATTTGCTAGTCGAGTGCTTGTCTGCCAGTTGTAATACAACCTGTTTCTAAGTTAGTGTTTGTTCTCTCACTTAAGGAAACCTGGCTCCATGGGGAAACAAGTTTTGGCATAAGACAATGTAGAATAGCCTTATCTTTTTAAACCCAGAAACAGAAACAAATCAAACTGCATAGGTTGGTGTTGCAAACTTACAATTAGTTGTTTGGTGGAGTAGTAAAATTCCTGCTAACAGCCACAAGTCCGAAAGTCCTCATGCTCAATCTTTTTTTTTTTTTCCAGGTTACTTTTTTTAATAATTTATTTATTTTTTCTCAAATCGTAATTCATTCACACAGGAGTTATAAACACAAAAAGGCAGGATGTGGGGAAGGGAATGACACTGGAGTGTGGGTCTTCAGGGGGAATACAGATATCTTTCAGAACCGGGTATCGGCTGGATGAAGGTTCAGGGGACAAGTCACTATGACTCTGCCTATGACTCACTTGTCCTTATCTAAGTTGGTATTGTCTGCCAAGGCTACCAATTTACAAGGTCTATGACTACTCGGGCTGGTAAATTTCCACAGAAGCTGCCTGTTTACAATAGCTTATAGCCATCTGTTTCAATGTTTTTTCACAGAGACCCAAGACTTGGTGTTAGTATACATGTATGACAGGCCTATTGCTGATTTTAGGCCTATGGATGATTTTAGGCCTTCAATGTGTAAACAGGGCTGCCCCTGACATCTCCTCCCTTATCTAAGTATAGAAAGGCTGTGGCGATTCTAATCATGTGAAGGCAGGGATAGAGGCCTGACCTCCAGTAATTGAAGGGGACCTTGTAATGGCTCCAGTCCCCCTGTCGTTGTCCAGTGAGGCAAGAGGGCCATATCCATCACGATGTCTTTTTCCTGGAGAGGGGATACTTTTGACATCAACCCCTATGCGGTCAGGCTTGTCCCTCAGGGAACCCAGAGAGATATTTTTATCTTTTATTTATATTCCCTTGCAGTGCTTAGCCTTGCAGCCTAAGCAAGAATTCAGATCGCCAGTCAGAAGGAGTTCTGGGTGGCCCCTCTCTCTGCTTGGTCTAGGGGCAGAAGTCCCCCCTTTTAGGTTGGGTGAAGATGGGTTTTGGGAACACCCTAGATAAAGTAACAGCCTCATCTTGAGTCTCGTGGTCCTCCATAGCTAACTTATGATAATGTTACTGAAGAGGTTTTTCTACCAAATTATTTATCTGTTGTTTCACAGAGTTAGTCATCCTATCTGAGGCTCAGGGACCAGCAGAAATAAGCAAAAAGAACCCAAATAATGGTCCCAAGATGGGAGGAAGTAGGGTTGACAACATTGGATAGGCTGAAAACCAAGTCTTGTACCAGCATTCATCTGTCTCTCTCTCTCTGAGTTTTCTCAGGGCCTTCACTGACCTATATCATGTTCTCTTTAACCCTCCCTGTCTTGTCTATGTAAAGGCAACATTCTTCTTTAAGGGATGTACACAGTCAAGAGCTGTACCCAACCTTTTCTATTGTAACAGAGTAAATCAAGTCCAATAAGTATCTTTGCGATTTTTGGAGGTCTCTTCAGACAGCGAAACGAGGGATTTCTTCAGATTAGTGATGTCAATCTCTAGTTGTTTGATGTTCTTGTCAGTGGCCCTTCAAAGGTCTGAGTAGTATAAGTTTGGAGGCCAGCATCTGGATTCACGGGTGATTCATTTTTACCTGGAAAGGAAAAAGAAGGGAATTCTCAGGGAGATTTTTCTTCCCTGGATGTAAATTGTTATTCATCTTATTTATGATTTGGCCTGGCTTTGTGGGGGGTATCTATTTATTTCATTAATCTTTTTGGTAACCAGTTAGCTGTGCCTTCTGTGGTATCAAACAGGCATATCAATCGTCGTCCCCGTAAGGGAACTGGGTCTGGGCCATTCCCTTTAAGGGAAAGAGGGTCCTTCTCCATTTCTGTGGCATAGTTTTTGTTGGTCTCGGTGATGCTAGAGGCAGTCATCATGCTCAATCTTTAGAATCAAAAGAAAACAACTATGACTACCCCAGAAAAAAACAGCAACCCACCAAACAACAAAACAGAAATCTGTTCACATAATCTTCTAGCAAGGCACCAACACAGGAGCATTTGTGATGCAGTTGATAAGTTTTCATGTCTCATACTAGAACTTTCAGATGTCTGTTTTTATCATATTAAACAAAACAAGCAGGATGCATTAAATGTCATTTTCTTTTTTTAAAGATACTTTACCTCTTTGTGGCATTGGTGAGCTCTTTCGGTTCATATGATGATGATACAATGGAAGTGAGCAAAGAAGCCAAAAATCTTCAGCTTGCTATGGCCAGGATAAAGATGGGAATAAACTCTGTGCTTCGTAAAATATTATGCACAGAAAGAAGTGTTCCTACAGAAGCAACAGATCAAATATGTGATCCAAGTATTAAAGAGAATATTTCTGGCCATACTCTTTCTGAACTGAGCAACACCCAAACGTTCCTCAGATATAAAGACGAGAGCAATGGCACTGAAAAAACTCCAGTGACTGAGTCTGAGAGCCAGTCACTGATTGCTAGTCCCAGTGTCTCAGAAACTGTGCCAATTGCTTCAGGAGAATCTGATATAGAAAATCTGGATAACAAGGAAACTCGGAGCAAGTCTGGGAATGGAGGCAGTAAAGAGGTAAGGGGTATATTATCTTGATTATTAAGTATGGATTTGTGGCTTTGTTACAAAATACAGTTAAATTGCATATTTGACCCTAGATTCACCTTCCCTAACTACTAGATTTCATGGTTTTAACCAAACTACTTAAATGTTCAAGCTTTTGCTTCCTCTTCTGAGAATGAAGATATGTTTCTTTTAGAGGCAAGAGGTAAGAGATATTATCACAGTAGCACAGAGAATTTGCCTAGACTAAAGTGACATGCAGGAGATATAAGATGGTTTAATTGTGGAATTCTATAAATTAAAATGTAAGAAAAATTTGGGTGATGAAAATCATCTTTAAAATACATACATACCACTATAAAATCAATGTATATGATTGGGAAGTCCAAATTCCTTGTGCATTATCATCTTCAAGATGTGAGAATAGCTTAAAGGAGTGCAACATGATTCTTGCTTGCTACGAATGAAAGTTTAATCCAGCCATGACTACCGTATATAAGAAATATATAATGAATTAAGACAAAAAAATTATAAAGTCAATAGTTTGAATTGTGACTAGTTGGTAACTTTATAAATTCCTGTCTTAGGAAAAAACACATTTAAAAGGCTAGATATTGTTGTTCACTTAGTTTCTGAAATATTTAATGTTGTATCCTTTTCACTTGCAAGTAACTGAATGTATTATCAAATGGTACAGTTTAGTAAGAGCTAGTCTTAGAGAGAGCACTATGTGCTGTATCAGCTTCTAGGTCTGAGTCTCATTAGACATCATCTCAGGTTAGTTGAAGGCCTCAGAGAAGAATAGATTATGGCTTTTCTGTGTCGCTATCATGCCTGGCAGCCCTTTCCTCAAACCTCTGCTGGTTAGGCACATCTGGTATAATGCCTCAAATGTGTCTTCTGACACAAGTTCAGGATCAGTAATCAATAGCCCCTCAGCTTCTCTCTGAGCATATCAATATTCTTGGCTTTCTTTTACCCTTAATGAGAAGATGATAGGAATCCTTAGTCCTCACATATCCATACATATCTTACTCTCTGACGACTCGGCTTCCATGCATCTCTAGACAAAACTGCTGTTTACCATTGGAAAATCTTGATAAAAACATGAGAAAGTCTAGATCACACAATGCAGAATAAAACAGCAATGTAAAATAACCATAAATATTGGATTTCAGAATGTATCAATAATGTTGTGTGCTTATTTAAGCCTTTATTTGGTTAAATAACTTCAAAAAGATTTATTCCATTATGCATATGCTTAGTTACATATTTAATTGAGCAATTTGTCAATTATGTAGTCCAAAAATATTTAATGTACATTAGTCTAAAAAAATACAACAAACGAACATGAAAAACACTAACTTAAGAAACACGTTTTTATTTGCATACATTAATCCTTCCATTAAAATATTATGTATGTACATGACTGAATAAACTATATATCAGATTGTGAAATTTTTTAAAAATAGTGCTATATCATAATACATTTTCATGACATTCAGTAACCTACCAAAATAAATTAAAACTATAATTTACATTTTGAGCTATATGTGATATAATAAAGGAAAACTGTTGAAAGATCATATCAATAGCATATGGACAAATGTTTGGTATCTATAGCAAGTGTACAAGTATCTAAGTAATACTTTTCTACTCATTCTGTTTCTTTGATCAAACAACACATTTTACTGAGATGACAACTGGCCATGTAAAAACTAAAGCAAAGAAAGCTTTCCATTATTGTATTGATTGTACATAAGCTCACAAGGAATGACCAAATATCTATAAGTTCTTTTCCAAACTCTAGCCGAATAATCCTGCAGTAATAACATTTTTATATACTTGTATGTGATTTTTTTCTAAATTATGAAATGCCTTTTGGTGCTACTGACTTACAGTATCCTGGTGTATTTATATGATAGTATGTTGGTGTCCATTTCAAAGTAAAGTAAACTGAAGCATTTACCACACGTACAAAGCAATCAACACTTTGACTCAGCAGCCTTGAGCTTCAGTCATGGGCGACTAAGAATGAAGAACCTCTCTGTCCCCAGGATCTTCCTATGTGGCTTTATCCATGTGTTCCATTCTATCCAGAGCTCTCTTCTATGAGTCTGTTTCTCTTTTCACATCATTATAAGCTCATGTCCAAAGTTGGCAAGCACAAAATTATCTGGATTGGGTTAAACATTAATATTGAAATTTATTGTCTACTCAGTAATAGAATGAATTATCGCAGTGTGTCTGTCTAATTAAAATAACACATATGTGTCTCATGTAAACTGCCTTAAAATTCAAAACTCAATTATTTTATAAATTATAAAGAAAATGCTTTATGGCTAAACTTTAATTCTACCCAAAGTTATTTCACTTAAATATTTCAAACTAACTTAAAAAGAAAGCTATTTATACATGGTGAATTTAATTTCAGACCAGTTCCAACTACCTTCAAGTCTTTTAACTCTGATAATATTCTTCTTGTATATCATATTTACTTCTGAAAATGAAATGAATCTACAATAATCAAGTTAAACTTTAACTGTAACTTTTTTGTTGAGGCTATAATTTTTTTTCTAGAAAATGAAGCAATCTAGTTCATCTGAGTGCAGCACAGTTGATATTGCTATTTCTGAAGAAGAAGAAATGGTCTATGGACGTGAAAAGTCAAAGCTTCGTAAAAACGGCAAGTAGTTGTTTCCTTGGTAACTTCATTTGAAAATAGACTGTTTTAGTGCCTCTCAATAATGATGCAGTATTTACTTTTAATCTTAATTGTAAAAAAAAAATGTGTTGCATACATATTGAAATGTGTGCACATCAACCCACATATAACTTAGCAGACACAATAACTATCAAGGGAAAAAAATCATTGTTGAGAAAAAAAAGGAAGAGTCTGTTTGGTACAAGGTAATGTGGTAGTTAAAATTATTGCTGGCATCAACAGCTTCATTTCATCTTTCTCTCTGTCCATTTACTCTTCTACTCACTGCCTTCTGATCTAAACAGTGGTAAACTTCAGAAAATGGTTACAAAGATAAATTTATATGTTTGTGTGGGGGGTATGCATTTGTGTGTGCAATCCTAGAAGATAATCTTTTCCAAAAATAAGCAACACTCAATACTGTCAGCAGCAGCAGCATCCTAACTCATTGACTCAGCTCATAGATATAGTAACTGGCATAGTTGATATAGAAAGGAACTCTGAGAACATGTGATTAGTGGAATAACATTGATAGTTTACTCAAATGTACTTTTCATGGTATAAATAATATTAAGAATATATCTTGCAAGGCAGTGGTGGCTCACGCCTTTAATTCCAGCACTTGGGAGGCAGAGGTCGATGGATTTCTGAGTTCGAGGCCAGTCTGGTCTACAGAGTGAGTTCCAGGACAGCCAGGGCTACACAGAGAAACCCTGTCTCAAAAAAAATAATAAAAAAATAATATATCTAAAGTTTTTACTTAGTTGAATACTTGTAGTTAATGCAACTGAATACATTATACTAGAGCAAGGAAGTGTAGTTAAATTAACTCTAGACTACTTAGACTGGAAGTAAGTAAACTAATTTTGACTTCATGAATTGCGTCAATTTAATTTTCTATGCACTTTATACAAAAATAAAACATAATCATATGTTTGTATATTTATATAAAAGTGCATATAAAATATACAACTTCAATGAGCTATTTAGCACACTAGGTATATAATGTATACTTCTCATTGATTTATAATTCAGATTTGTTTACTAGTAAGATTAATAAATTACTACAGATTTGGAATTTTTAAATCATTGCAGTCATTAAATTAGTAACTGCCAAAAACATTCAATTGATAGCTTTCAAATAAAAATAGTTGTGACTTAAAATATGGCCAAACAGAAGGCTTGCTGAATTAATCTAGGAAGTCCAGAATTTAGATCCCAAGTATCCGCATAAAAGTCAAGTCTGGTGGTCATGTCTACAACCCCCATATTGGTGAAGTAGACACAGGTCGACCCAGGAACCTACAGACCAGCCAGTCGAGTGGAAATGGTGAGGTGCAAGTTCAGTTAGAGACCTGTCTCAAAACATAGATGTAGAAGCAATTAAGAAATACATCCCCCATCAACTTCTCAAGAAATACACCACCACACATTTGAACACACACACACACACACACACACACACACACACGCAAAGGGAGGGGGAGGGGGAGGGGGAAGGGGAGGGACAGGGAGATAGTGAGATGGAGAGACAGAGGGGATGGAGGGCACAGGGGGGACGGAAAGTCGGAGAGATGGAGGTGGGGATGAAGTCAGACAGACAGAGACATGTGTGTGTGTGCACATGCACACACACACACACAAATATTTCAGCAACTTAATTTCAAGGGCATTAATCAACTAAGACAATGGTAGAAATATATACAATTTTTCGTAAAGAGGCACATTCTGGCACTAAAAGCACAATAAAGTTATTTTTTTAACTTTATCTCACACTCAAATCCAGTTTTTTACACACCCCAATAATCATTCACTTACTGAGCTACAGATTTGTTTGTGCTAACTCTCTCTGACAAGAAGGCAGGCTTCTTCCAGCTACATGTACTCAATCCATGAAGTACTTGAATTCTTGACTACCTCTGTAAATTGTCTTGCTCGGGTTCCCCTTTTCCATGCTGCTTTACAATCAATCTCAAGGAAATTGTGTTGACTTAATATTATATGCCAATATAAATAAGTGTGTCTTATATCACTGTACCAATTATTCAAAATAGGATTGACAAGCTATCACACATGTGTGCATATAGGAAGGTAGCATTGGTGGACTGGTTTCACTCACATTAGCTCTTTTTCCTCTAGGGTAGAAGGGCATTCTGCTCTATTGACCCTAAGAGCATCTCATTTCTTCCTCTTTCAAACCCAAAAATTCAGTTCTTCTCTTTTTCTCACAGATCACAGACCACTGAGTAGTGGTAAAATACCAAATGTGTATGGATCACAGAGTATCTGTATCTGAATCAGTAAATAAGTCATCAGTAAAGCATCTAAAATTGAAATGTTTATCCTTTGTGAATTTCCTAGATGGTTCCTTCTAACAGTTCCATTCTTGGCAGGTTATGAACACAAATCTTCAACTGGTCAAGTCAGTAGAGAATCTAGGAATGGAAAGATTTGGAAGAACATAAGGAAAACTTGCTGCAAGATAGTGGAGAATAGCTGGTTTGAGTGTTTCATTGGCCTGGTCACTCTTCTCTGCACAGGCACTTTGGTGAGCTCTCAACCTTAGGAAATGTGATGTGAAAATATGCTGTAAGATTAGCAATTCAGATTATCACTATGCCAAATGACTTTACCCAGAATACTTAATATAACACCAGAGTTCATTTTCTGCACTCTGCTAGCATTAGAAACTATATCACACAATATTAGAAATATTGTTTATAAATTATTAGATATTATAATTAACATCAATGCTATTTTATTTAAGTTTTTATCAATAGTATATATATGGTAAACTTCATATTCATAATATATACAAATGTTTAATATTGATGTTTAAGTAACAAAATTAAATAAACAATAGTTTCAAAGTGTACATATTGTAATGAGAAAAATTACATTTCCCTAATTGTGTCCATATCATGAGACCCAGTTCTATCCTCACTTAGATGACAAAAGATTCCTGATGATATGCCTATATTCAGGGTCTTGAACAGGAGAGGTGATCCTAAGTTCTCCATTTGAATTAGAATTCATCGCAGTGGTCCTTATAGACACAAGATGCAAGAGTTAGAGCCAGAGCACTAATAAAATGAGGATGAAGTAGAGTTTGGAGTGGTATACCTTCAAGATGAAAGAAAATGTCACAAGATCAGAGAAAAACAAAGAAAATTCACTTTCAAGGTACTGATTTTCACACAGAGAAACTAATTACAGGTGTCACATTTCAAGGCTTATAATAACATAAATAATTTATTACTGCTCAGACAGAAAATTGCAGTAATCTCTACAGCAACTATGTGAACACACTAAATATTACCTTAGGATTTATTCCCAATTCTATTCTCCCAATTCTTACAATATCCTACATGTGGCCCATGCTTTCAGAATGTAACAGTTCTCTTCTTTAGTAACCCCCAGCCACTTGATAAAGGCTTTTGTTTGTACTGATGGGATCTAGGAAGTAGGTAAACTTAGATCTTTTCAATCCCACCTTGAGTAGAAAAGTGATTGTCTATCATATGTGTATGTCTGATGACAGCTGATTGAGAATGTCCCTGTAATAGTGAAAATGCTGTCTCTCAATTGAGGGCATTCCTGTTTGACTACTTTGTTTGCCAGAAAGTTTCAGTCCTGTAATCTAGCAACACTCATTGTTTCTGTGGAATTATGTTTGATCAGTGTAGAATTTCAGATGACAATTGTAGAACTGCACTACTCAATATGTAATTTAAAAAGTAGGTGTCATGATATATTGGGTGGAATTCTTGCAATTATTTCATTTGTTGATTCTTTGGCCTTCGTTTCTTCTTTTTTTTTTTTTTTTGGTTTTGGTTTTTCAAGACAGGGTTTCTCTGTGTAGCCCTGGCTGTCCTGGAACTCACTCTGTAGACCAGACTAGCCTCGAACTCTTGAACTCAGAAATCTGCCTGCCTCTGCCTCCCAAGTGCTGGGATTAAAGGCGTGCTCCACCAGTGACCAGCTGGCCTTTGTTTCTTATATTCTTACTGATGGAATAATGGTGGACCCTTGTTTCATGGCTTTCCCAAATTGTGCATGCCTGACTTCACTGATCTTAGAATCTAAGCAGGGTGAGTCCAGGTTAGTACTAAGATGGAAAATACTTGGTCTGTTGGGTAGTAGGTATAAAAATCAATGTGTAAAGCCACCCTGCTACAACTCATTGTTTCTAGATATCCTAGTTCCATTTTTCAAAGTATGTTTACGCACAACCTGCTATTACCTATACATAGAGGTTTGTGAATGTCATTCGCTTTTCACTGTGAAATATCCTTCTTTATTTTCATTTTTATGCCTCATCGGATTTGAAGTTGAATTTAATCTCATATAATCAGAATTCCTAGAATATTTTGTATGTCACTGTGTGCAATTTTAATTACAGGCTCTTGAAGACATATATATTGATCAGAGAAAAACCATTAAAATCTTACTGGAATATGCAGACATGATATTTGCATACATTTTCATTCTGGAGATGCTTCTCAAGTGGGTGGCTTATGGCTTTAAAGCCTTCTTCTCTAACAACTGGTACAAGCTGGACTTCTTGGTCGTTATCGTATGTATTTTTTTGCTTTTTTTCACTTTCTTTCGATTTATTTATTTATTTATTTATTTATTTGTTAATCTTTTTTTTTACAGTCCAGACTTTATCCCTTGTCCTGGCCCAAAGTCCGACTGTTCCACATCTCCTACTTCCTCCCACCCCCATCTCCAAGAGGATGTTCCCACCCTCACCCCACAAGACCCCCCACTGCCTGGGGCCCCAAGTCTCTCAAGGGTTAGGTGCATCTTCTCTCACTGAGTTCAGACACAGAAGTCTGCTGCTGTATATGTGTCAGGGGTCTCATATCAGCTAGTGTCTGCTGCCTGGTTGGTGGCTCAGTATCTGAGAGATTGCGGGGGTCCAGGTTAGTTGAGACTGCTGGTCTTTCTTATGGGGTCGCCCTCCTCCTTAGCTTCTTCCAGCATTTCATCATGCAACCACAGGGTTATCTTACTGATATTAAGCATTACTCTCCTCTGTTCAATCTCATGCTTTGACCTTATTGTCCCCTCTCCCCCCATACAACTTTCACACAAACATCTCATTTTCTTCCACATCTGTAACATTTAATGTCTATTCATACCCTGTCAGTGAACAACTTGACACATCCAGTATTACCATTCTAGATTATTACAATAATTCAGACAAGGAATTACTGATAACAGAACAGTTTATTGAGCAAGATTGGGAAAAAAATCACTTTAAAATCTATTGATTTGATACTTAAATAATGTATCCACAATTTGAATATGTATTGTCATCAGAACCATCCTCACAGTATCAGGGTTTCTCTTGTGGATCATTGGGTAGACTTTATGCTAACATAAGGTGAAGAGGTGAAGTTTCTGCTATTTTCTGCACAGAAACCAAGATGAAACAGTCAAAAGTGGATGTCAGCTAATGCACTTCTCTTAGAGGAACTGTCTAACAAACACTCGATCCCCCTCAGAGCAAAAGCCAACTCTTTATAATAAAAAGTCTCTCTTGACTGGGTGGTGATGGTGCAAGTCTTTAATCCCAACTCTCAGGAGATGGAGGCTGGTGGATCTCTGTGAGTTTGGGATTAGCCTAATGTGATGACATAGTCTACTGTCCTACTTCCCAGCCACCCCCATTCCCTACTACCAGCCCTGGTTCTTGAACTGCTTGAAATTAGTCCATATAATTTCCATCTTATTGGTTTGGTATTCATTCTTCTATCTGGAATTTTGCAAGTGTTTATGTTATAGCTGAATGAGATCTTTGAACTTCCACCATCCTGTGCTTCCTAATAAAATCCACAACCACCCCAGTATTTTTTTGTCATCTTCCTTCACTTTCATAGTGCCTATAAATATTATGTAATTTATTCACTTGCCAGTCTATAATTTATCTTACCACACTTAAAGAGAAGTTTTAATAGAGTAGAAATTTTCTGAATATTATTCTTCTCTCCATTATCCACTATGCCTTCTAGGCATATCATATAGCTGATAATGTTACCCAACGAATAGATGATTGTCTATGCTTTGAATAACTATAAAGGCTTTTCTTCACATAATTAATTACTTGCAATAGGTGGCCTCTGTCATGTGAGATCTACTCCATAAAACACCCCAAAGAACACTGCAGCTCTCCTCAATGACCTTTGCATCTCCATCCCTGTATGCTTATGTGGACAACCCTGTAATTCTAAGGGTACCTCAACATCATTTTATAGTACAGAATTAAGAACAAAAATAATATTTCTCTGTGTTGACTTGAAAATATAGGAATCATAGAGATACAATGTAAGTTTCATCATAGTGGTATCAACATTGTTGAATTCTAAGTAACACATATTAAGCACTGACAATTTTATAAATGTCAATTTACTTTAAAAATCCAGTAAACACATAGACATATGTTTTATAATTTACCCTTTTGTTTAATTCAATTAAGATCTTTCTTCATACTTAGCTTCTGGATTTTTTATTATATGTTGTCATGAAAATAATTATACACTGGTAAATATGTAAGAATAGTGTATGGGTGTTTCAATGAATATATTTTCACTGATATATTATAAATCATTTTATTTTAAATGAAAAGCAGTATAGACATTAATATTGATCATATAGAATATCATATTTATAAAAATTTACATAAGAATATTATTTATTTATGGTATTTATTTATGGAAATGATTACTGTTTTACTGTTTATAAAAATAATTTTAGCAAAAATGATATTCTTACAGTTTTCATTTTTAAGGCATTATGAAATATATATTTAGATGTTTAAAAGGTTGAATGGTAGGTTTAGATAGTGTACTTTTAATTATAAACACAAAGGTTATAATCATATTAACTCTTTTTTTACATATGTGCAGGTGTTTTGTCTTAGCTTAATAGGCAAAACTCGAGAAGATCTGAACCCTCTTAATTCCATAAAGTTCCTTCGAGCACTAAGAGTTCTGTCTCAGTTTGAAAGAATGAAGGTGAGACAAATTAAAACCTGTGAGTTTTCCATTAGAACCACTAGATATCCATGAATTAACAAGCTTTATTCTTACTTTTAACGGTTATTTTAAAACAAATAGCATATCTTCCAGTGCATACAAATAGAGAAGCTTTGCTAGTTACACTTTTAATGATTTTTGCAACCTATTTCTCATAAGACCTGAAAACTAACAAAATAAGTAAAGACAAGTAAAAGATGAGAGATTTAATACCATTTCGGAAACAATATACTTCTAACCCTCATATATATGAATATATTCGTATTATATGTGTTTATTAAAATTGTATTTTCAGTTCATGAGTGCAGGCAAGGGGGTCTGTCATGTCTAAAATACACTGTTTCACTCTGGCCATTTCTAACCTGTGTCTCTGACAAGTTTTCTTCCCATTATTCTGCCATGGTCTGAAGCTTAGGGAGGAAGAATTATTTAAATATTCCGTTTGTGGCTGAGCACTTATTCATGCTCTTCACATTAACTGTTTTTTTTTTTTCTGCATTAACCATTATCCAATGCACAAAGGAAAACTGGATGATGTCTAAGAATTTCCCTAATCTGCAGGAAGAGAAATACAAATTTATGAAATAGTTTGGTACAATGACCACTTAGCAAAATAATAGCAGTAGATGTTTACCTAGTAAGTGTTAACTCCAAAACCATGAGTTTTTACCAGTTATGTAGTCGTAAGCCAGCATCTGTGTCCTTCTAAGTAGGACACCTTATTTTCAACCAGAAATCAGGTAATTATTCATATAATAACATTTGCAGATATTTCACCTTGGCCATATCTTATTTCGGGCAGTACTTATTACACTTCACAGCATTCATAGCTGAGGAAGACATCTGAAGACTTCCTAGACCCCCAGTAGTTTGCCTAGCACATTGTGGTATTATGAAAGCTAGTATGGAGGCAGTTTCCTAGACAATACCAACTTGATTTTTCCAGATTCTATGACCAATGTGTATGGTGTCTTCAGCAATAAGGTCTTGTCATCAAGTTCTGTTGAAAGACTAAAAGCAATGACAGTACTCTGTATTGTACTGGGGACCTCAGGATCATCTCTGACCAACAACTCAAGGGGGGTATTCCACACTTGCCTTAGGCTTTTTATTTAGCAGTTGATGGCTTTCTAATAAGCATCATCCCCTATGTAGAGTGTCTTCAATTACACTCTTATATATAAATGCTTATATATACTTTTAATATATGCATATATGTATATACACATATAATACATACATATATGTATATATCATATATATGAAACTTGTAAAATAGTAGGCTTCCATAGGCTTTAGAAGCATCCTTCATGTTAGTAGTTCCTCCCCGGTTTCTATCTGTATCCCACTCTACTTAGATCTTGTTCCTTACTATCCCCTTACTGTCTTTCATATGACCCGCATTCTATTCTCCCCTTAAGATCTTTATCCTCCTTTGCCACCAATGGTCCCTTTTTAGTTCACATTAAACACATTAATACAACTATTCAATGCTATGGTCACATACAAGTGATATGTAGCATGCAATGTTGGTATTTCTGTGTCTGGGTTACCTCATTCAGTGCAATACTTTACAATCCATTTACATAGACATTCCATAATCTCATTTTTTCATAGTTGAATAAAGTCCTTTTGTATATAGACCACATTTTAATTATCCATTCATCAGCTGATGGACATCTATACTTCTTCCATGTCCAAACTAAACTGCGGTAGTATGTATGTTATTTTCTAAATTAAAGTGAGATTTGCTTTTTTATAAATAAATTCACACATAATTCACAGTTAATTCTTGCTTGTGCTTTTTCCCTATGTGGATGCTAAAGCCTTCTCTGAACAATATGAAGATAACCCATGGGTTCAACTATATAAAAGCTAAAATATAAGCAAAAGTCCTGTGGTTTTATTTTAGAGTTATAGTAAAGTTATTGTAAATATATATTAAGTTAAAACATGTATGTAAAAACATATCCATGGCATATAAGCAAAGATATATGGAAAAGATATACGTATAATAATGGTTAAAAGATAAAATGAAAAATGTTTAGGCTGATGGTGGAAAACAGAATTGATGGTGCTTCCGAGGTAGAAAAGAAATAAAAATATAAATTCCTAGAAAGACTAAAACAGAATGCTATGGTTTGAAGGGATTCTGTTTGGTATAGCAAGCAGTTCAATTCTGATGCAAAAATTTCAGTGTAGTAAGAAGAACGATGTTCTAATTAAGATGTTGAAGGGAGAGAGATGAGAAAAGGAAGACAGTGGCTGCAGACTGTGGCTGGTGCTCACATCTTTTAGGGTGTGGATTCTTTTCTCCAACCTCAAACCGTGCCCAGATCATCAGGAGCATAACTTAGTGAGGAGGGCAGAGTCTGAGTTCAGGCTGCCATGTTTCCTGAGCCATTCAATTGCTTTGACTTCATTAATACATCCATCGCTGCTTGATGTTTCCTATGCCTTGCCTTTATTGTCTCCTTTGCAAGTCCATCCTTCCAAAGCCCATAACCCTCAAGTCACTTCTCATCCTGTCCTCTATCACTTTTATATATTTATACATAATCTAATTCATGCACTGAGTTTAAGTTATCTTAGTCAGTCTAACATAGTATAGAATTAACTGAAATAAAGGTTTAGCGTAGGGTTTAAACTAATCAGTTCTATTGCCTGTTAGTGATGTGCCAATTTTTTGAAGGAATATTGACTTATAGTTTGATTTTTATTAAAAGTGAATGACTGTTGAGTTAGTTCCACTACTTCAATATTAAGCATTCAAACTCTATATATACATGTTGTATGACTCAATATGTTACTATGTCAATTGGTATTTTACATCTGACCATAAATTAAAATGATTTTTTTCTTACCTAAAATGTTCGTTGTCTTATGCTCCAGGTGGTCCTGAGAGCTTTGATAAAAACAACCTTACCCACTGTGAGCGTGTTACTGGTCTGCCTAATGATCTGGCTGCTTTTCAGTATTACTGGAGTGTACTTATTTGCTGGCAAGTTCTATGAATGCATTGACCCAACAAGTGGAGAAAGATTCTCTGTATTTGAAGTTATGAATAAGAGTCAGTGTGAAAACCTGGTATTTAATGAATCAATGCCATGGGAGAATGCAAAACTGAACTTTGATAATGTTGGAAATGGTTTTCTTTCTTTGTTGCAAGTGGTGAGTATACTTTTTCACCATTTAAAATCAAAATCACGTTCAAGCTAGATTCCAAGCATCCATCTAGAACACAATATGGTTAATGAACAGGTTTGGTTGTAAAATAGCTGGGCAGTTATTAACTGATAGATAGCAATGACATGCGTGCTGTTCTAGGCTTCTTTGACGATCCAGTCAGGTAGAGTCTCTTGTGGGAAAAGCACGTGTAGTGACAGTTCAGACAAAGGAGAGGAAATGCCTGGTCTTGACAATTTCCACCATTGCTCATTAGTAACAGGGTCACTGCTCTTCAGTCTGGCTTGGATAGCTACTGTCTTCACATCACTTAAAATGCTGAGTGATAGTTACTCAGTGGTCTGATATTCAGCAGGTATACAGGGTCCACAACTCAAATCACATGAATAAGACCACATGCATAACTTTGATGCTTATTAACATGTAGTTAGAATTTTAATATCAGTTTCCTTTTGTTTCTCTTGTTCTATTGAAGCCATATTAAATATTTTATGAATTTTAAATGAATTAGGTAAAAATAGCAATATGAAAATAAATGTGTTAAATCTTTTAGTTACACAGTATATGGAAGTGTGGCAAACCACACCATTCAGTATTTTAGAATACTAAACAACAATGAATTAAGGTTTGTCTTTTATTTACCATAAAATTGTTCCATAAGATTCACATATATTTTACTTTCAACAGGCAACATTTAATGGTTGGATCACTATTATGAATTCAGCAATTGATTCTGTTGATGTAAGTATCTGACATTCCCAATATCATTAATAATCAAGTTGATAATTTAAGCACAGGTTACAATAGTAATTTATGTAGATTAAGTCACTCATTTCACATACAGTATTTCATTGGCACTGAATTTCCAATAACATATTCAAAACTTGAAGCCCACTTATCCTGCTTAAAGGACTATCATCTTCTCAAACCATAGCTAAACCAAATAAACACATTTGAAGTCCCAGATGAATGTAGCTATGACAGCCTCATACCAAGAGGTCAGGGAAGCATTTACTTTATTTACCAGGGCTGGGTGTTTTTGTCAAAATTTATTTCTAAGTCTCATGTTTTAAAAATTTAGTACCCATATTTTACTAATTTTTTTGCATTTACTTTTAGGTAAACATGCAGCCTAGTTTTGAGCACAACCTCTACGTGTACACTTACTTTATCATCTTTGTTGTGCTTGGATTATTTCTCCCTCTGTGTATGCTGATTGGTGTTATTATTAGTAATTTCAACAAGCAGAGAATTAAGATAAGTATAAATATTCTTTCTATATGCTTAAAATTAGACTTTACAAAATATTTCTAGGATTTTCCTCTTGGTTTAATGTCAGTTCTACATGGTACAAATGTAATAGAACAATAATGTTCTTATACATTATAAATAATTACAAAAATACCCAGCCTTATTGTATCTGCAATATTCAAAGTACATTCAGACAAGAGGTATTTATATGTTTGTTTGTAAATAGTAGTAATAATGAAAACCAAATAACAAAATTTTACTATACACATATGTATATATTTCAAAAAGTTTTATTTATTAAATAAAGTCCCACTGTTCTTTGACAAATGCATATGATAAGTTCAAGGCATTGTTAAAGCATAATTACATTAGTTTTGCAGTTAGGCACAGGACATAAATGATGACATATAGAAATTAGATGTATTTTAAATTTGATATTGCACAGACAATCCTTCCAGAAATACATAAAATTATTGAGTTCTAATTGGCTCAGAATGACTCAATTTTAAGATCCTCTGTTTCTATCCACAGGCATCATCATCCCTGTCTACAGTGTGTGTGTGTGTGTGTGTGTGTGTGTGTGTGTGTGTGTGTGTGTTGGTATATATGTGTAAGTGCAGGTCTATGTGTACATGTGTGGATATCCATATATAAACCAAAGGTCAACTTAAGGTTTCTTCCCAGAGGTGTGACATCTACTCTTTTGTTTGTTTGTTTCCTTGAGACAAGTTCTCTCAGTAGCCACTGACCCAGAGCTCATTAAGTCATCTAGCCTGGCTAGGCAGTACACCCCAGGGATCTGTCTGTCTCTGCCTCACTAGCCTCAGGATTACCTGTGAGGTCATCATGCAGGACCTTCACCTGTGTTCTGAAGATCAAATTCAGGTCCACTGGCTTGCAAGGCAAGCATGTTGCCATCAGACATCTCCCTAGCCCCAGAAGAGTTCTGTACTTCAATGTATTCTAAGCCTTCAAAGTCATAAGCATAGCTACAATCTAAGTCAGAGAGTTCATTTTTTAAGTAAAGAAAGCCATAGCTCATAAATCCAAGCTTGTGAATGTTTAACAGTGCAATCTTCTACTCAAGGAATGCAGAAAGTTAAGGGACTAGGTACGATTTGATTTGATGCTGTAGCATCCTAGGACTGTTAGCTTCTGGGTTTGATGATGGTGGTACATGTCAGTTCTAGCCCAGATTCTGACTGGAGCAAAACCAATTACTATTTCCCAAATTAAAATCACTCTTCCCTTTAGATATTTTGGATGAGATGCTGAAATTAGCATGAGAAACACAAAAATGAGTCAGCTCTAGAGAATATTGTTCAGTGAACACTATATACTTCCAGAATTATTTCTTAAAAATGTTTTGATTATATTTATAAAATTTGGTAATATTTTGAATTCATAAATTCTAATTTTAATTACTTCTGCTTGATAACAGACACAAACCATATCTATTAAATTCGATTTGTCATGGCAGGCCTCTCGTATCTTCCACTGTGTCTCCTTGTTTCTCTAACTGAAAAGAAAAGCATGCAATAAAGATGACTGATTATCATGGTTGATGGTGTATTTTATATGGATTTTTATATAAAGATACCAAAACTTGATTGTGCAAAGAATTAAGTCTAGTTTTCTAAAGTACACATTAATAAAGGGGAGAATTCAGGTGAAATGCAATTTTCATATCTTTTTTTATTTATTTTTTACCAGGGAGGATCAAATATCTTTATAACAGTAAAACAGAGAAAACAGTACCGGGCACTGAAGAAGCTCTTGTATGCAGACTCTCAGAAACCAGCACCACGCCCCATAGTAAGAAAATATTATTTTGAATCTTAAAAAAATATTCATTTTATTTAAGCTAGGAATATAGCTTAGAAGCAGAATGCTTGCCTAACAAATCCAAGGTCCTAGGTTCAATTCCTAGTACCTGAAATAAATAAATATCTTTGGAAAACATAAAGTATCTACTTATTATGTTTTATCAGTAATATAGATTTGTTTTCTATGATTATTAAAAAATATGTTCATTTTAGTAAAACATGCATGTAATCTCAGAACATGGGAAGTAGAGGCAGGAGTATCAGGAGGTAATGGCTAGTCTTTACTACGTGTGTGTGTGTGTGTGTGTGTGTGTGTGTGTGTATCAACTGTTTCTTGACAACAATTATAAAACATGTTGTTTGACAAAGATTCAAGTGCTGTTTTTGTGTTATTTGGGGAGAGAAACTGTAGAACCCAGGAATTATGCATACAAGTATATAAGTATCTTGTTAATCGACATTGCCCTTTTCTTTACCTACAGAACAAGTTTCAAGGCTTCATTTTTGACCTAGTAACACATCGCATCTTTAATGTTACCATCATACTTCTTATCTGTTTCCAAGCAACAACCATTATGATACAAAATGATGAGCAGAGACCACAAATGGAAACTGCCATCTTCTGGATAAACTCCATTTTTGTCATGCTGTTCACACTGGAATGCATACTGAAGCTCACTGCTTTCCACTGCCACTACTTTACCAGTGCATGGAATGTTCATGACTTTATGGTGGTCATTTTCTCAATTACAGGTAAGGATGGCTCTTGTCATTTTTCCTTTATAGTATTAATTCAGTCTATCACAATATGTACCAAGATAGATAGTGACCTTGAAGAAGCAAACTGATGAGACTATTTTCTTTCACAAGAAATATATGTATATATATATGTATATATATATATATGAGACAATCACTTTTTAGACAATAAAACATATTTAATGTGTTTAGAAACTGAAGTGTCACAAACACATGATATGTGCTTGGTTATCTGTAATCTGTGTCATTCTAGGCTGCTATGAGAAGGAGCCCCATGTATTAGAATGCATGGCTTTTAAAGCTCACTAAGATTCCGTACTTTTAAATATTTTCATTCGACATTTTATTTCTTTACATTTCAAATGTTATCCCCTTTCCCTGTTTCCCCTCCACAAAACTCCTATCCATTTGCCCCCTCCCCCGCTTCTATGACAGTGCTCCTCCACCCCCCACCCCCACTCCCATCCACTTCAACATCACAGCCCTGGCATTCCCTACACTGGGGCATTGGGCCTTTTTAAATGTACACAATCTTCTCAGCATTAAAATTTCAGTATTTAAAGGACTTTGTTTCGAGTCTGCAAATTTGTCTGTGGTTTTCTCTTACTTGAGTAACTTTACATTTGTTGACACATACTTTTCATTGTCCTCTTGCCAAATAGATAGAATTCTGGAAATTAAGGTTAGGAACAATTTCTGTATGCATATAGCTTACAGGTTATCAGGGCAGACATATGCAGATCAGTACATTCTATATGTGCTGAAACACAGAGTACCATAGCACAGGGCAAAAGAAAGTATACCTCGTCAGTAACTTGTGGTCAGAGAAAATGCCATCTAAGAAGGAAATTTAAACAGGAACCTACTGGATAAGGCCATATCTGGCACTAAATATTAGGGCAAAATTATATCAGGACTAAAGATGTTTCTTCAGTATTTGTTTCTGCATAACCAGAATATGGTCTCTGTGAAAGTAGGAAGCATTTAAGAATCAATGATGTTAATGCCTGCACTTAAGGCTCAGGGATCATTGGAGAAATGGGGTAGGTAAGAAGGATGTAAGAGCCAGAGAACCAGGGAGTTTGCAGTGATATTGCATCTCCTAAGAATGTCAGAAGCTACACCCATGAAGTCTCACCAATGTGGCTATATAAACATTAGATAAGTAAGTATGATGGATAAGCTACAAGGGAAAGCCCAGGATATCTTTACTGTACACAAAGAACTACAAGAAACAAGGAATGTTGTGAGTCAGAGGACTACCCTTTCCAGGGAAGAGCACACCAATTGGTTATTCCATGCTAAATGGTCAGCCCTGAAAGCATACATATAAGTAACATTACACAGAATTGGTCAGTTGTATTTACATATTAAGAAAGAATTAAGAAATACATATGTACATGTGTATCCACATATATATATGTATATATATGCATGTATATATAGTTACACATATACAAATACATAGACATATATAAATATATATGTGTAATAACAATTATTATAAAAAGAGACCATAAAATTAAGAAAGAGGAAGGAAGGGTATATGGAAAGGTTTAGATGAAGGGAAGAGAATCTGGTGGGATTATATTATAATCTCAAAAAGTAAAAAGAATTAGAAAGTTAATGATATCAACCAGAAATTTCATAAGAGAAAACATATATAAACCACCTGCCTAATATGAGTTCAGAAATTTCACTCTTTCAATAGAATAGTGAATTCATGTCACTGACTACTGAAAGAAAAATATAAGCTTGGTAGAAAAGTATGTGGAGATCGGAAGAGGCAATAGGAAAGACGTAAGTGAGTTATAGACCAACAGTGACTGAGGTAGGAGTTAAAGAGTGAGCAGGAACAGCAAAAGCAGCCATAGAGAAGGCAATAAAACCTGAATTTCCAGGCTTCTGAAGTAATCATCTGGCCAAGGCACTGATGTAGCTAACTGAACCAAAATAATGAGTCTTATTAAAATGAGATGGTTAAAGACTGAGTTAAGCCCTTGGATGGATCATTGAGGGAGATGCTGAGGTGAACAAGGAGACCATGAGCCACTTACTAAGTCTTCAGCTGAGTGCAAGTGATGAGGACAGTGTGAATCACAGAGCAAGAAGATGATAAGCAAGAATTGTGTTGGACAGAATAATCCACAGAAGGTCAGAAATGCATCATATCTTTTAATAAAAATGATTGGACAAAATATACCTGGAAGTCTCACTGGAAAGTTACAAAGATACATAGGCTGTCATTTTGCCTTAAAACATAGAGTAGAAGAGAATATGAATTCTTCACTTTAAAGTGTCATGTGAAAAATTAATGTCATCAGCAGAGTCAGAGTTTAAATCAGGGGTTTCATTTCCTGGTAGTGAGCATGAGGATGAATTTGTGCTCAAGTAAGTGAGGATGTGTTTTTATTAATGGGACATCTTGGAAGACTACAGAGAGATGAGGATTTGTCTAGTATAGTAGAGTCACTAATAAATATTAGAGGGAATATAGACGTGACAGAACCCCACCAAAATGCCATCTTGGAGAGTGGACATGTTAATAAACTTTTGGAACCTGTTACTTCCTCTCAGCAAATACACAAAAGCCTCATGATGCTGTCCTCCATGAACTTTGCAACCAAAACTAACATGAAGCTATAAGGACATGCTCACATATTATACTCATATTTAAAAACTAAAATACTACTTATAAAAGAAATAAATTAGATTAAAATCTGTGAACCACTGAGTGCTATACATTTTTATAGTCTTGGTTATCTATAATGTCTCCTTGTCTCACATTCTATTCATCTCTAATAGCTATCACAAGTTAATGCATTATAAAGTCCTTAAGAGAATTTTTATTATCCATTTTTCTATATTTACATAATACATTGTGAAGGTATTTGATATTAGTGAGATTGGGCAAAATTCCTTAATTCAACAATGTTAGAAAAAAATTGACTATTGACCTACAATGTGGATCTGGTCATCTGTGACTTCAAACCTATCTTAAAATAATAACACAGAAGAATTCTATTCTAAATTTTGGTACAGAGCCTGATCATTGATAGAATTAATAGTTAACTAACCCAGTGTCCAATATGCTGTTCCATGAGATAGGTTAAGTGATGGAGTAATAGATTCATGAACCATACAAAACTAGATCATTTGCAAAATTAATTATATTTTCTATATACAGCTGCATTTGGATAATTTTGTTGCTTCATTGTATCTCTTCTCACACTAAGGACTGCTGCTACCTTTGACAATAGGACCGTACTTTGTGCCTCCTTCACTTGTGCAGCTGATACTTCTCTCTCGCATCATCCACATCCTGCGTCCTGGGAAAGGTCCAAAGGTGTTTCATGATCTGATGCTTCCCTTGATGCTGTCACTCCCAGCATTGCTGAACATTAGTCTTCTCATCTTCCTGGTCATGTTCATCTATGCCATCTTTGGAATGTACAACTTTGCCTATGTGAAGAAAGAAGCTGGAATTAACGATGTGTCCAACTTTGAGACCTTTGGAAGCAGTATGCTCTGTCTCTTTCAAGTTACAACATTTTCTGGTTGGGACGGGATGCTGGATGCAATTTTCAACAGTCAGTGGTCCGACTGCGATCCTGATAAAATTAATCCAGGGACTCAGGTCAAAGGAGATTGTGGGAGCCCTTCTGTTGGGATTTTTTATTTTGTCAGTTACATCCTCATATCATGGTTGATCATTGTTAATATGTATATTGCTTTCATCATGGAGTTCTTAAGTATTCCTTCTAAGAAAAAAGCCAGGACCTTAAGCGAAGATGACTTTAGGAGATTCTTCCAGGTATGGAACAGGTTTGACCCTGATAGGACACAGTACATAGACTCTAGCAAGCTTTCCGATTTTGCAGCTGCTCTCGATCCTCCTCTTTTCATGGCAAAACCAAACAAGGGCCAGCTTGTGGCCATGGATCTCCCCATGGCTGCAGGAGACAGAATCCATTGCCTTGACATCTTACTTGCCTTTACGAAAAGAGTGATGGGAAAAGATGAGAGAGTGGAGAAAATCCTTTCAGAAATAGAATCCGGGTTTATGTTAGCAAACCCTTTCAAAATCACATATGAGCCGATTACAACTACTTTAAAACGCAAACAAGAGGCAGTTTCAGCAACCATCATCCAGCGGGCTTATAAAAGTTACCGCTTAAGGCAAAATGACAAGAATATATCTGATATTCCTATAATAGATGATGGCAGAGATGATCTTACTTCTAAAAGTATTCACTCTGGCAAAATCGAGGAAAAGGCATCTATTCAGACCCAGATCTAATGGCACTTCCCGCTTCTAATTTCTGTACTTATTGCCCCAAACACTAACCGCTTAACTAAGCTGGAGGTCAGAGACTAGAGATAATGATTCCGTCTGTGTGCCCACATATCTCCATGACAAGCTTAGCTTTATGTTCAGTCTTCTGACTCACCAGGAAAGACAGCAGCTCTCAGCATTACGGCAAGTAGCTAAACTAGGTTACTGTTGTCATTTTGGCTATTTAAAATGTTTCTACATGGCTTGGGTAGTGTTGTCTCTCCTGGAAGATGTGTAGGAGGAAAGGGGAAGAATGAGAAATACAGCTCAGCAGCTAAACAGTGTTCCTTATATATCTTATATGTGATTTTACAGACTGGGTCACCACCCATTAAGCTTAGGTGCAAATAAGAGATACTTCCTTAAAGTGTGATTGTGCTTCAGAAATAGGGAAGCACCGTGTTAAATCACAAACATGCATAAATGAATGTTGAGATGTTGAGAACGGGTGCGAGAGGAAAATGCAGGTCTTCAGAAAGTGCCTTTCAGTTCATTCGTAAGCTAAATTACAAGATCTGTTCCTTTAAACATTTAGCTCAGCCCCTTTTTTGCTTTTTGTCCCCCCATCCACCTCTTTTTTTTCTTGCTTGCTTGAGCTTGCTTTGTTGTCTTTTGTTGCTGTTCTACAGTTTTGGATAGTAGACACTGACTTTGTTTCACTGCTCCTGGCTCCTCATGAGCAGACAAGTTCTACATGAGCTCCAGCAACAGCTGAGATTTATAGAGCAAGAAGCATAGAAGAAACCACACTTAATAATAAGTTCATTTTTCTGTATTTGATTCACATTTACACCTTTTTAAAAGTACACATTTACTAAAAGGATACAATAGAGATAAACGATAAGGGACTAAAACTTTACCTTATTCTAAAAACTGGTGTATTTTTTAACCACTTACCCATAGCAGGTGCATGCTATCATATAAATTAGAAGGGTCAAGGACAACCAGCATGTTTAGGGATTTTCAGTGCCCAGACCCTTATTTAGGAAACTGGTCATTTAAAGTTCTTTCCATTGCACTTTGTATTTCTTGTAACTTAAAGAAGAAAGAGATCCTTCAAAGAATGGGGTTGTGAATTAAGAGATGACAATTAAGTTGGCATTTTATAATATCATTATATGCAAATTAGTTCTAGTGCTCACTTATCTTTTCCCTCATTTCTTTTATATCTTATCATACATATAAGTACTCATACAAATGTTTTATATTTGAGATTCTACAAAATAACAGACATTAGTTTTAACAACTGATATCATTTTTGTTAATATAAGTAGTTGCTTTTGGTCTATTCACAAACTTGTTTACTTCCATCCATGTAGTTTGAGAATCTGACAGTTTCTCCGTTTGTATAAAAAAATGATTTCACTGTGCCTATGAAGTCCTCCAGAATTTAAAAGAAAAAATATATATTATATTGACTTAGATAAGAAGCTTTAAATGGGTTTTATGATACTCAATACCATTATATCCCAGAGATTGTATTTTATAACGAACACATGGACTTGAGCCTTAACTCCTGTACTCTGCTTTCAATCCTCGGAATCTCTATGACTTTGCCAACTTGCCTTGGATGATCGATCACCCAAGTAACTATAATTTCAGAGTCAGTGGGTTTTGTGGTTTTTGTTTGGCCAGTTGTTTGGTTGATTGGTTGATTGTTTTTATTAAAGTATATTTCTCTTTCACTGTTCACTATTTGTCATGTGATGGAGACAAGAGATGCATGGGAGGTTTAACTGGTGACATGATGACAGCTTCTGTGTTACCTTGACGTTTCTGTCTTCCAATTTCTGGGAATGCCTTAATGAGGAAAGAGATACAGATAGTAAGACTGAATCATAACTTGCTTCCATAAATCCCATTAAGACAACACACTGAGTTTGAAACTCATTTTGCTGTTACCTATAAAGAATGTCAAGCAATAGCCATCCAAAAAGTAGAAAGTTTCCTTTCTGAATGACTGTTGCCAAATGTCCTCCTTTTTAGATCCCATGGAAAATAATAAATACAACCTGTTAAACACACTTGGCTTTGTTTTTATGTTATTCCTCTGTAAGCCATATTGGCAAATCTGACTGGTGAATTTTTTAATAATATTTACACAGTAATTTATTTATGTGTTCATCCTCATAACCCAAGTGTGAAAATCCTTAGGGTGCCTGTGGGTCTCTGATGCTTACATATCAGTATTCGATCAGCTATCAAATCCTTGAAAGAGCAAGTTAGGATGTTAGTAAGACACACATTAACTTTGAGAATCATTCGGGTATTAGCATAATTGCCATATTTAGTATTCTGTTCTACAAATAAAGCATGGATATTGTTTTTTTTAGAGACTAACCAATTATAAAGGCTTTCCGGATACAGTATTTCTTTCCATTGGTTTCTCATTTATTTTCCTCATTTTTGTTGATTTCTACGATTATTGTTAGGATTTCCTTCTCTATATTGTTCTGTACTTCACCTTCATTTTCATCCAATAGAAAATTAAGTTGTTTATTTGCATATTTTACTCATGACTAATATGCCTTAACAAAAAATTTCTATATTTATTTGTTCCCTATCATACTAATGTGTTGCATATATTTTTATTTAATTCTATATCTTCTTTTTAGAGGCATACAAAACTTAAATCTTTATTAAGTAAATTTGATTTGTGTGTCATAGGATATTACCTAATAAGCTCAGAACATGCTTCATCTTTGAACCTTTAGATAGTTTATCAAAACTGAACATCTTCTGGATTGCAAAAATAGATCTTCATGGATGTCAAAAAATGAATGTCACATAGATCATGTTCTCTGATCACTATGAAATTTAGGTAAAAATTAAAAGGGAAATACTTAAAAGTGTACATAGGCACCCAGACTCAAGTATGCACACATGGACATGCACATGCACACACACATGCACGCATACACACTCTTAAAATAATCAAAATAAAATATTTTATAAATAGAATTAAGAGTGTTTAATTATGTATGATTTAAAGCATCCTATTGTATATAGAGTCACTCTTCTAGCCTGTGCTTCATTTATACAAATAGAACTTAATTCTGAATCTTTAAATTTTTCTTTAGTGCTTATATTTAATCCCTGAATTTGTACTGTTTTTATTTCCATGATTAGAACTTTCCTGTAAGTTGTTGATTTTTAATTTAGATATATTATGGCCTAAGAACACACATAGCATATAATTTCATTTTATTTGGTTATGGTCCATTTGTTAACCAAATATTGGTCTGTTTCAGAAGCTTCTAATGGGCACTTGATAGTATGTGCATTGTCGTGGTTGAGTGGAGTGTTCTGTGTGTGCTTACATCCTGTTCGCTCACTATGCTGTGCAGATCATCTGCTTGTTGATTTTATGTTTGTTGATTTTTGTTGATCTCTGAGGGGGAATTATTCTCATGCTCCTATTCTTCTTTTCAATGAATTTTGCTTCATTTTCAAGAACTGTTGTTGATACATTTATATTAAAGATTGCTATTTTTGCCCCGATAAGCCTTTCTTTTTATCATTGTAAAATTACTCATAATTGTTCCTTCTGAAATTGACTTTAGCACAGAGTACAGACAGTGCTGCTCTTTTAGAAGAATTAAGTTTAGTTTCGTGGATGTTTTCCTTATTTTTGACCATTTTTTATTACCAATTTTATATGCCATTGAATTTCAAATTTCTCATAAGAATTTTGTTGGATTGGTGTATCCAACCATTTATATTTACCTAGACATTTGTTAGCACTGAAGACTGACATTATTTGCTCTCTAGGATTTTTCCTACTTTCTCATATTTTTACTTCTGCCTCTACTTTCTTTTTTGAAAAAAAAATATATTCTGTTATAATTTTATTGAAAATATATATTCCAATCACAGTTTACTCTTCCACAACTTCTGCCATGCCTTTCTCACCTCCCCACTAAGCCAATTTCATATTTATAAAGTATTTCTCAGTTATTTGTTTCATATTGTAAGAAATCTGTTTAGCCCTGCATCTCGTTTGAATATGTCTATTTGTTATCTTGGTGTTCTTTAATTTTGTATTTATTCTAGATGTTAATCCTCTATCAGATGTGAAATTTCTTTTTCCTGTGCCTTTGCAAAGAAATCAGTTCCATCTCCTATATTCAGCATGGAGAACAGTTTATTTAGTCTGATGAACTAAAGATCATATTCATCTTCTGCCTTTTCATATTTTCTTTTCAGTCTTGAAAAGAAGTCTTGAAAAAGTATTCAAAAGTCTTGAAAAAAAGTATTCAAAATCTTGAAAAGTATTCAAATTTTATATATTGTAGCAGAAATCTTGTATTTTTAAAAACATGGACATTGTTTTCCTTTTGTATTGTCTCATACTTGAGTTTAAAAATAAGAAAAACTCTTTGCTTACATGGGAGGAAAATGGCAAAGGATAGAAAAGGGTAAAATAAAAGATCAAAGATATGAGTCCATCATTATACCATATAACCCCAACACAAAAGGGCTTTTGCAAAAGCCATATGAAAATCTACAACTGTAGAACATTCCTCAAACATACACATATCCAACTATATAAGGAGTTTAACTTGAGTTACTATATAAGGGAGGAAGGGCAAATACCCAAAGGTAGCACATACTAGCAAATAAAACCCTTAGTACTAGTAATTGGTCATCATTTTTGGAGTTGTTGGCCAAGGGAGATCTATATATTTCCAAACACAGCCCATTATTATCACTGTTCTTGGTTACCCTCTATATTTGACGAGAACATTAGAAATAAAACAAATGCTTCATCTCTATTGGGCAGCTTGGAGGCACAAACCCTATTAAACTATAATAATGACTCTCCTGGAAAGATATACCTACTCCGGCAATAGTGATAATATGAATCTTACAGGAGTAACCAAACACTTTCTCATTGGATTTATGGACCACTCCAAGAAATGGAATCGTAAGCTGGCACTGTAATTGGAGATATGGATGTGTTTCTGAATAGGTTAGAGGCCTATCTAGGGGGAAATTTACTGCTATTATTCTGCTAAGTGGAAATATGAAACAGACTCCTAATGACTTAACATCATATTTATGGATGAAAGTACCTCTCAACTCTCATTAAAGAAGCTTCTTTTTGTAGCAGATGACCACACAAAAACTTACAACTGGTCAGTGTACAGAGAATACACGAAACTTCAGAGTACTTCTTCCTAAGTAGGTCATCTAGATCAAGCCCTTTCTCACAAGACTCAGTAACCACTGAGGTAGATTGAACATAAAATTTATAAGGGCTAAAGACAGAGTAAATCTACAAGCAAACAATATTTTTCAGATACACAGGCTAGTTGCACATATGAACACACAATGATAGCTACAGAATGAACTAGTATTGTGCAAAATAAACTCAGACAAAATTAAAGTATGGCGGGAGAAAAGAGACCACAAAATCCTACCAAACAGAGGAGGTATTGGCATTTGATAGTTGCTGAGAGAGGCAGAGTCAGTTTTCTTCAAGTATAAACCCATGAACTGAGCAGATCCCACTCTCAAGAGTATTTTGACAACCAAACAACTGGAAGGGTTTAATAAAGAAAGAGCAAATAAGAATTTGGGTAGTGAAGAAAGTGGAAGTGGATCCAAGAGAAGCTAAAGAATGGGGTGAATAAGGTTAAAATATGTTGCATGGAATTCAAAAAGAATAAAATAAAAAATATTTGAAAATTTTTTTTGGTTTGTTTTTTCAAGACAGGGTTTCTCTGTGTAGCCCTGGCTGTCCTGGAACTCACTCTGTAGACCAGGCTAGCCTCGAACTCTCGAACTCAGAAATCCACCTGCCTCTGCCTCCCAAGTGCGGGGATTAAAGGCGTGCGCCAACACCACCCCGGCTTGAAAATATTTTTAATTAATGCCAGTAATTATAGATTGTGGGGTGGTGGGCTGTGAGAGGCAGCTGGGTGCCTGGTCGAGCACAGGCCTCAAACCCTAGACCCTAATGAGACGGAAGGTGTTAGTCTTGATTCCTTGGCCCCTGGTTTCTTTCACTCAGCTTCAGCCCTCCACAGACCCTCCCAAAGAGAGGTTTGTGTCAACCAGCATAGGTAGAGGGCATGACTACAGGCCTCAGCCTCAAGAGATTTCCATATTAATGAGATACCTAAAGGCCAGAGGGCATAACCAATTAAGCATTCTTTCCCAGACCCTCCTCCTTACAAACAGTATTTAACCAAATGCCTGCCCTGGAGATACAGGGGTACAGCCATATTCAACCACTTTCTGCCACAATAAACCTTTTAACACCATGGACTTTCTCCTGTCTTTGGAGCCTGCTGTGGAGAACTGAGAAGGGGGCCTTCGATTACTGAACTACTGCCTAATCTCCCATGGAGATTAGGAGTTCTCTACGGTCCAGCCATGGAGGCCGCCAGTTCTCTACTTTCCAGCCGTGGAAGCCACCTATTCAAGCAAACTAGCCGAGCTGCTGACCCAGCCAAGCAAGTGCAGTAACCAAGAGTCTTCTTTGTGGGGCGCTGTCTGGGCTTTCTCTCCCCCTCGTCTCAGTTCTTCCATGGCTCCTAGTAGCATCTGGGAGCCCCAGGACAGAGACCAGGAGCCCTACCCCTGCAGGACCTTCAGGCTGACACCTCTCCATGCCTGGGCGGAGCCATGAGCAGCTTCTTAGCCCAGCGCTTCTGCTCCCCAGAGCTATCAGTTCCAACCACCTGGGGCGGCAGACACCAGAGAACAACTCCGCCCAACAGGACCCATGCCCGCCTATGCACGAGCAAACAGCCCCACAACAGATATTAGTTTTTATATGTGCCTACAAAGTGAAATGAGGCTAATGACTAAGTCTATCTTTCAGTTTTATTTCTATTATGAGAGCATTTAATCTTTTAGCAATTTAAATATCATTGAAATTACATAGTCTGCATTTTCTTCAATATATTTCTGTTGTTTATTCTTGTTATCTAAGAGAAATTCTGTGCGCGTTCAGTAGCATCCTCATTGTCCCTATGCACACCCCTATCCCAGCCTCTGGTATTTCCACTTCCTA